AGCGAGTCTCCAGTTAATGCGTTTTGTGTCATCGTGTACTTGAACTACATCACCAACATGTATCTCAGTTGTATTGTTTCCAGTTGTTCTGTGGAACTTGCGTAGGCTCGTCAAGTATTCCTGGCCTCAACGTTTCCAAAAGTGTTGGATTAGGTGGGATCTAAGTTTTCCTTGAGTGTCGCTGGGTTTGGGTTCATAGGTAGGGTCATCAATCTTGTCCTCTTTGCAGAGTAGGTAGGGTAATGTGGTGATTCTCCGACCATAGAGTAGATGTGATGGTGTTAATGGTCCTTCGTCGTTGAGTTCTGATGACACATGTGTTAGAGGGCGATCATTGAGGATTGCTTCCGTTTCGGTGGAAATCGTTTGGAGTTCTTTTAAGCTGACATTCGCTTTTCCGAGGACCCTTTTCAACGAGTTTTTCGTCAGACCAATTAAGCGGTAGCGGTTTGTGTACCTTTAGTACCTTCTCTTTGGGTGCGTTGACTTTCTTCAAGGCTTTGACGAAACGAAGTACCCAAGCTGTGGTGCGTAGTAGGTGCTGGAGGTCACTGAATTTGGTAGGGGTGATAATCTGCTTGATGTTGGTAGGTGAACATTTTGTTGACTTGGGCGTGTCAGGGTTGTAGGAGGGGCTTCGTTCGTATCTTGATCTTCGTATCTTGATCTTTTCTTGGCTAAAAATACGCCGTTACGTATCTGCACAACCAGTTACATTACATAACTGTCACAATTTTTTCTCTTTTAAGTTACAAAAGGCCTATTTAGTTGCTGTGCACAGACTATAATATATAATCGTCTCAGGCAAAAAATTTGCAAGGTATACATGCATGCATTCCCAGGAGATCAATCGATAGAATACATAAGGTAAAATGCACCCCAAATAACAATAACAACAAATTAACAAGATGTAATGACAAATGACCACTTAAGACAGTCCTGGCATTCCATAGTAAAACAACAAAGTGTATGAAATTTCCTGACTTTATTATCAAATCTCAATGAACAAAACATGATGAACAAAACAAATCAATAAACAATATCAAGACCGATATTAGCTACATATAGGTAATGTCATGGTTATGATACCTTGGCTAATTAGCTAAAATTGGCTAAAAATTTTTTGCTTCACGAACTTGGTAACCACGAATGTTTCTTTGATGAACAAAACCGACAAATCATACTAATATTCAATAATGTCAAACAATATCGATAGCGTTAAGTACCTAACAGTAATGTCATGGTTTATATGATGTCATGCGAATTATCATTTATGAATAGGCCAGAATGTTTTGTTTATGACTTCACAAATTTGTTAACCACGAGAGTTTCTTTCTTATATTGAATTTCGACACCAGTTGAAGTTAGAAGGGTTTCCTCGATTACACGCTTGTTAAAAATGTTCTCTCGACTGATTATAATTTCAAGAGCTTCTTGAAAAGCAGTGATAGTTGTGGTTGATTCACCTTCGTCATTCTCTACAACAAATATAGCGAGGACGTTTTTACCACATTTACTCGACCTCATTGTGTGCCCACATTTGTCGCAATGACAGATCGGACCAGGATCAAGTTGAACAATTTTTCTTTTACAATTAGCACAAGCAAGATAGATGTTAACACTGTTGATTGACAGTATTTGTTCAATGGGTGTACTCACGACAACATTTTCTTCAGGCATTGTCACTAGACTTTCTTCAATTAAATTTAGTGAACTGTCAGTTAAAGGATATACTTTACTTTGTTTGCCCAAAGATATTTTTTTCTTTCCATTCCAAACGCGAACTGTTGCCGACATGAATGAATAAGCATGTCCATCTTCAATTGATGCAATGTGAGGATCCCAGATATCTACGCAAATCGAAGCGTTGCCGTCGACCAATACTCTAGAAACAACTTGCAAATTATCGTTGACTTTTTCTCTTCGAGATATTTGAACCAACTTTCCCTTAACATTAACTCTATCGTATTCCAAACAATTGTTCAGAATGTTTTGTATATTGATAATTTTTTCATTACCTGCTTTGAGTTTCGCGTATTGAAATTCATACTCACTCTTGTCAGGACTCAATATTTTTGTGGCACCATTTATGATAATTTTTTTTCCATCTTTAGTGTGAGTAAATCTGTCCAGCTTGATTGGGGTGCGAGTTTCCTTACTCGCCTTTAATAGATGCCGTTTAGGGGGAGAGTACAAAAGTCCTTCTAGGGGAGGTTTGTAACTTAAAAGTCGAGTAATCCATAGTATTTCTCTTATTCCTCATGGGTGAAGAAAGTTCATGGACATACCCAATCTCAGAAGACTGCATAGGTATAACTGTAGACGTAGAAGGGCCAACTCCAGAGCCAGACGATTCCTTATCAAAATCAAGTTTCCTTGTTCAACTGGTTTTCATGTAAGACCAACACGTGAACAACATCAATCATAAACAAACGTAATAGCTATTTTAAGAACTCAAATCTCAAATCGTAAGCAGATACACGCCATGTTAGTAGAAATAATTGAATTACTGTATAGACATGTTTAAAGTTAAAAGTCGAGGAGAGATTCGCAAATCTAGTGCTTTACACAGTCCCTTGCCTAGCCAGAGAGCTTTGTGCAATCAGAGAAAAACGTTAGAAGATAACAAGTGTGTTTCGCAACCGGACCGTGATCACGGGTCCAACACCAACAGTCCAAGGGTGAAAAATCGTGATCTTGAAATATCATGTCAATTTCAGATTACAGTAGAAAGTTACAGTAGATTGCTATTTATATAAATCTTTGATGATTTCCGTCAATTATAAGGGAATATTACCTTGCGTGAAATGTGATATCCGAAAACTATTGACATCGCAAATATATTCCTTGTTTATTTGCCGTGATGTCGAATTAAATCCTGGCCCTACAACCGAAATGTCAATTTTAACATTGAGGCTAGCAGGAATAGGGCGCCACCTTGTGAATATACAAGGTGATGGATATTGTTTTTTTCACAGTATTAGCCACCAGTTATATGGAACAGAAGCTTATCATGCCCAAATAAGAGACCGCGCTGTTCAACATTTAGTTAACTACCCAGAATATTTCATAGAAAGCAACATTGAACAATCTTGGTTTCAATATTTACAAAATATGTCCAGACTTGGGACTTGGGCTGATAATATAGTTATACAGGCAGTTGCCAATTCGTTCAGTTAAGAATTAGTATCATCGAGAGTGCGTTAAATTTTGCTGAGTCTACTATAGTAACACCAATCAACTCGAATGTCAGCAATCTGCGAGATGTTTATATTGGGCATCTTAATGAGATTCATTATGTATCAACTGAACCTCCACGACAAAACCTTTATTTTACGCAATCGCAAAAAAATAGAATTCAACCTCACCACGAATTCGAAAATAAAAAGCTGATTTTAAATTTCGGGAATTCTACCTCTAATGCAGTCAAATGCGAAAGCTCTGATAAATCTACAAGAAGAAAGGAATATATGAAAGAGTACATGAAGAAAAAAAGAAAAAATACAGAATTGAAAAAGAAGAATGAAAAAAAAAGAGGTAATTATAAAACGAAGCAAAAAAATCCAGAAAAAATCAGAGAATCTCGATGAAAGTCTAATGAACGTTACCGAAAGTCACATCTTGAAAAAATTAAGAGTATTAATAAAAAATTAAATTTTCTGCACAAAGATTCCATTAGAAAAGATTATTCGTTGTACAGGCAAAAAAACGCGGAAAAATGTAAACAGCAATCAAAGCAAGCAGCGGCCACATACAGATTAAAAAATCCTGATAAGATAAAATTGACTCAACGAAACAAATACTTAAAAAGAAAAATAGCTCACTTGTGTGATAGGAATAAAAAATCCAACTTTGAAACAAACAAACGTAAGGCAACTGAAACCACTAAGGATCATACTTCTCAATTTAGTAGAAATAGCAATCAGGTCCATCAAACTAATGTATCGCTATGTATCAAACAGTTCCATTAAAAACATTAGTGTAGGTCCTGAATATGTTTGCACATGTTGTGATCAGTTGTGGTATAAATGTTCTGTTAAGAAATGCAATCGTACCTTGTATCCATTGTGTCCTAAAGAAATTTTGAATTTAAGCTTACGTGGAGTAAAAAGCGTCAATGATACTGAATGGATGTGCTCAACCTGTCACTCTAATCTTCAATCTGGTAGAATGCCAAGTTGTGCAAAAGCCAATAAAATGTGTTTCCCTGAATTACCTGAACCCCTAAAGAATCTTAATCCTTTGGAGGAAAGACTTATTTCTCCAAGAATACCTTTTATGCAAGTGAGAGAACTACCTAGTGGAGGTCAGCTGAGTATTCATGGTAATGTAGTGAATGTTCCTTCTGATGTCATCAATTCAACTGTTAACATCTTACCTAGAACAATGAATGAATCAGCCACAATACCAATCAAATTGAAACGTCGCTTAAGTTACAAACACGACTATCAATTTCAGAATGTGAGACCATCTAAAGTGTTAGAAGCAGCAAAATTCTTGGTAGAATCAAGTGAAATATTTCAAAACGAGGGAATTCAAATTGCGCAAAATTATCATGAAATCACTCTGAACTCTGATAAGGAATGGTCAGAATTTCTGCAAAAATCGACCTTGGAAACATCAAAACAATTACCAAATGATTTGAACCTCGACAATAACGATGAAAATATGGAAGGCACAGCAACAAAGAATGACAATGATACTGATGATGAATGGTGCGAGGAGACTGAAAAACCATCAGGTGTTATGGATACATTGCTACAACAGCCTGACATGTCTCAAGATGCTGATAAAATCATAAGTTTTGCACCTGGGGAAGGAAATAGACCAATTGGGGTCTTTATGGATAAGGACGCTGAGTATTTGTCATTTCCAACCATCTATTGTGGTAAACGGCGAGCTGACAATAGTGAAAGAAAAGTACCTGTCCATTATAGTACCATTTGTAAATGGGAATTACGAAGCAAGAATACATTAAAATGTTTGAATTGACTCAGGTGATGAGACAAAAGGAAGATAAAGCTTTTGCTGAGATTCTCAATCGTGTAAGAGAAGGCAAACATACTGATGACGATATGAATATTTTAAAACAACGAGTGCTGAAGCTGAGCCCTCATCATCGTGACTATCCAATGATAGCTACTCACTTATTCAGCACTAACATGTCTGTGGATGAACACAATGATGAAATATTCAAGAAATCAACGAATGAAAAAGTGCAAATCAAAGCGATCGATATTGTGCTCGGTGATTTATCGGACGAACTCAAAGAAAGATTAAAAAAGCAAATCCCAAATGATCCAACCAAAACAATGGGTTTATATTCAGTATGTCGAGTTCTCAATGAAGCTAAATACGATCTTACGACGAATGTTTCAGTAACTGATGGTATGACGAATGGTGCAGAGTGTGTTATAAAAAAGATCGACTATCGAGTTATTGGTTCATCGAGACCAAGTATTATCTGGGTTCAGTTTTTAGAGGAACATATTGCAAAGAAATACCGCGCAGAGTTCGCTTATCTTTACAATGAGAACATTGAAAGAACTTGGACTCCAATTTTAGAAGTAACAAGACAGTTTAGAAAACACAAAGTACAAGTTATTCGAAGACAATTTCCTTTGAGACCTTCTGCTGCCAAAACAATTCATCGATGTCAGGGTGACACATTACGTGAAGCAGTTGTTGACCTTCCATCACAAAAGAGAGAACATATGCATTACGTAGCTCTAAGCAGACTCAGAAGCATCAGTGATTTGCATATTTCTTAATCTGAATGAAAATAAAATTTCTGTGAGCAAAAAAATCCAAGAAGAAATGGATAGATTAAGAGAAGAAGCTTTACTTGAAAGCCACATTCCATTTCTTTATAGAGACTCCAGTGGGGCTTTTAAAATATTATTTCATAATGTAAGATATTTACATCTTCACCATGCTGATGTTGCAAATGATTTCAATGTGAAAGCAGCTGATGTCAATATTTTTGTAGAGACAGCATTATGCACTAACGATAATGATGAAACATACTCCATTCCAAACTTCCAACTTTTCCGAAATGACGTTAATTTGGGAAACAGAGCTCCTTACGGAACAGCCATGTATGTGGAAAAAATGTTGATATCCTAGCCAAACCAAACCGATGCAATCACAATGATGTTGAAATCACTTTGTTGAAAGTAAACCAACCACTTGCCAACTTACACATTGTTGGAATTTATCGCTCGAAGTCTAAGGTCACAATTACAAGGTTTCTCGATGCTTTGAAACACCTGCTTGAGAATAAAATCGGCGATACAAATGTCCCACTTATTATTCTTAGTGACTTTAACTTTAATTTACTAGAAAATTCATCGAAGAGAAATGGGATTTATAAGTACCTCACTGAAGAAAGAAAATGTGTTCAAGTTGTAGCTGGATTCACTACAGACTACAAAACACAAATCGACCACATTTATACTAACCTAACACAGCGAGTTGTACTTAGTGGAATTTTAGAATCCTATTACAGTGACCATAAACCTGTCTTTATAACCATTAAGTGATGCCATACAGTTTCTTTAGCAATAGACTTAAACGATAGACCTACAGTAGCATTGGCATAACAGAGTTTACACTCAGTTAAAACATCCCTCCACAGCTAGTCATTGACCCCTCTACTTTTCAGGGGTATTTAAAATTCCTCTTTTGCGACTGATTGCAACATAATTTCTCATTAGCAATGAAGACGCTTTTATCTTTTTGTAAGGTAAGTTTCTAAATTTTCATTTTATTCAATAGCATTAAGTACGAGTGTGTCTTTTTCAGCCTAATGAAACATTTCCATTTTTCTTTAGGTCAATAATCACGATGCAAAGTCACGAAAAGGTTCACAGTAATATTACTTTGTTCTTGTCCTTGTTTGCTATCAATATTTCCTTTAAATTATACATAATATTCTTATAGATATGTAGCGCCCTGTCACCGAATAACTTGGCGCATATTATTGGTTTCCGGACGGCGCGCAAGGAACTTTTAATAACAATATTTGTATAATTCTTTTAGGATGTAACCTCGCCTAGATTATAAGTTTATAACTCTGTTAGGAAATAGACTCGCCTAGTTTAATCTTTACGCCGCAAATATTATTTACCTTATATTTGCTCTTGGCAGCAACACTTATACACACAACAACAACACAATTAGCTTAACACTAATCCTAATTGCTTTTCCGCCTCGCCTTTACTAACGATAGTATAAAATAACTTGTAACATTTGTGTAAGCATACAGTCTCGCTTTACGCTCTCAAGAGAACATCTCTTCAAACTATTGATTGTATTGACGAATTTCTAGGTGAAATAAATTATATGATATCGAAATTACATTAGGGTCCTGAGTATTTTATATCAATTCGCACGGCAACAAGTCACATACAGATACTCACGCTAAAGATACTTGAAATCCATGATGTTAACTTTCTAGTTAGATTTCATTAGATTTTAGCTCAGTAGTTCTTTCTTCGTTTTATTTCTCTCGCAATTTATTTCCCTTCAATTATATAGAAATGTTCAAAAAACACTACTGAGATTATGAAGTCAAAGATAATGGATAAGGAAACCAAGAAAAATAACGGAGGCAACGTTTGAAGACGATTTCACAGTGAAAAGAACTAAATGTGAGCAAAAAACGTCTGACTTGGTTTCGTGGCATGCAACTAAAGTGCACCAAGTGAATCCTGTGGAAGGTGGAAAAGAAAAATGAAAAATGTGGAAAAGAACATCACTCACATACTGCAATTTTAAAAGTGCCTTTGCTATAGTACTGATCAATTGAAAGAGATATTCTGTACACAAGAAATGTGTAAAATGGAGAATATATACACTCTCTATTCAATTAATTTATTTTAGTTTTTCTATCAAACTGTAGCAAATATCGTATTTTTCCAATCTTAAAAACCAATGAGAAATTAGATATCATGATCATGTCCAAAGAAGTTGTACCATCATTCTCGTAAGAGTCTAATATCCCCCAGAAACTTTGCACTATCCTTGGGATCTCTGGGTTGGATTAGTAACCTTTTTGATGAAACCTCATTGTAGCTGTTCCCTAATAAGTTCATTGTAGGTTTTCAGCATCTTTGGATCCTTGGCTAGTCTCCGTACTGTGGAGCGGGCTCTTCCTCATGCTACTGCTTCGTTGGTGGGGAGGGGATCGTGGTTAGGTTTCCATGGTAGTTTTGTGCAGTATCGACCATTCTCTACTCGTATTGAGGAGTCAATGTATGTTTGAACAAACTTCTCTTCGTGTTTTGTTGTCTCGTTTGGCAGGATTCCGATAGACTCGAGGTTCCAGAATTGTTCTTAAGCTTTGTACTCGTGTTGGCTTGAAACGATGGCTTTTAAAATAGTCACATTGAGTGATGTGGTCATGGGAGTCTGTCCAGTTGTGGGTCCTGATTCGATTTCGTTGCGGATGGGCCGGGTCCTCTAACGATTTCGTCTTCAACAACGTCCCAGTAGTGGTCAGCGCCGATCAAGAGGGATATGTGGAAGTGATTGTCAGTCGTCATTGGATGTGCGAGTTTTAAACCCTTTAAGGTGTGGAAGGTTTCGAATTTCAGCGGTGATGAAACTTCTCTGTGGAACTGCAATTGTAGGGATTATCAATACTTGAATATGAATTGTTTCCCCATCTTCCGTGTTCAGATTGATTGTAGCTGCATTCACATGTTTGATGGAAGTCGAGGAGCCCCCAAAGACTAATAGGTTCAATATTTCACTTGTTACAGGCGTAAGTTCGAGCTCGTCGGCTAAATTTTGAGTGATAAAGGAACATTGAGCACCTTCGTCAAACAGGATGTGGGCAGTTGTAGTTTTGTTCTGTGTGCTTATCATATTAATGGCAGTTTTGAGGAGGGTTTGTTTCCCGTGGAGATTGTTGACTGACAAAGACGAGTGGACACGATTTGAGGGTGTATTCGAGTTCGCTTGATTTGAGGCGTGGTTGTTGGGTGGGTCATTTTGCGTGTTTTGTGTTTGTTTCTCAATGTTCGATGCGGCCTCATTCGGGGGTTGATTTTTTCCGGTATTTTTTGTCGCGTCGTTCTTTTCATTGCAAAGACTCGTGTGATGTTTCTTGTAGCACACACGACAGCGGTTTCTCGAATTGCATGCAGATACGCGGTGGGTGTTCAAACAGTTAAAACATAATTTCGCTTCGAAGACAATGTTTTTACGCGCCACGGGATTTTTTACTGTAGTGCTGCACTGTTGGGGTGGTGGGGTGGACCCGAACAAAAAACGCATACTTTCTTGTTCGTAGGACTTTTTTAGGTGCGTAAAACTGCTTTGTGTTAGCATGGTTGCCGAACTTTCCGGACGCGTTTGTTAATAACGTTGATGTTGACGGGAAGGAATTGACAGGTTTGTGTAATTGACTCAATTGGTTGAAAGAATCTGTTTCTTCGCTAGCTTCAAGTATTTGGATTTCTTTCAAAATTGATTTGCGCAATTGTTCTATTGACCATTTAGTTGAACTGTTCTCTCGAGTTAGGCTTTGTTTGATTGTGGAGGGAAGTTTACTTAGGATAATGGGGATTAGGAGGTTGCCGTAGGTGTCCTGTTGCTTTCCTAACGCCTCGAGGCCCCGAATATGATTTTCCATGCTGTTGTAAAATTGGCGCAGGGTAGACACTGAGTCTTGAAGGGCACGGTAGATCTAACAAGACTTGCATGTGCGCATTGGTTATTTTGTGGGGTTGACCAAATCTCCTTTCCGAAATATGAATACATTGTACAAAATTCAACTCTGTGAGCGGTAAACCTTCGATTGATTGCGCTGCTTCGCCTGACACTTGAGCTTTCAGGTATGTAAATTTTTTAATGTCGCTTAGGCTGGAGTTTTCATGTATAGCGACTTTGTAGGAGTCCCAAAAGGTTTGCCATTTTAGCGCGTTCCCATTAAATACTGGTAGGGCTAACTTCGGCAATCTATGACTATTTGTATTGCTATTGTGGCATTGATAAAGCGTGTTTGTTTTGTGACATAGCAGCAGCCATAGGGTTGAATAGCGAATTACTATCGGCTGCGTTCTGTTTGATAAAAAATTCAATAGCGTACCTCCTTTTTGTTAGTTCCGTAATCGTCGGCTTCGATGATCTCTGTCTCTAGGCTCTTTTTGTCTTGGGTTTGGTCTGATATAGTTTCATCCAACTTTCTTAATAGCTCAATTCATGACATGTATAAGTTGGTCTAATGCAATTTTTTATATTTCAGAAACTGAATTTAAGGATATCATACACAGCCTAGATGTTTGGCACAAGTCCAAATCCATCAAGAAGTGTGTTGCAAAGGTTAGTCAGTAATGAATCTAGCAAGGACAGAACAATATGAAGGTTGCCTATGAAAATAAACTAATGTTGTAATATGTTGTTTATAATGATTGATAAGGTAATGACTGTTCTCAGGTAATTTTCTCATTTAATTGTTCTCAGTTAATTTTCTCATTTAATTTTTCAGCTTAGCAAACCTAAGGCAAACCAAAAGCAAGTTTAAAAAAATTCTATAGAGCCAAAAAATTTCTATAATGATAAATCAAGTTTTTTAATTTTTATAAATTTGGCTTTATAGAATTTTTTTAACTGGTTCAAGTTTTCCATTTTTTTTGTAAGAAAACGTTTTATAAAATAAAAAATTGGGGTAACCGAACTTGTTTTCGAGTAAAATGCGTGAATAGGTAAAATGTCGGCCATATTGAATCGCCATTGTTACCGAAACAACGGTAATGACGTCATG